CTTTTTTTTTTTTTCCCAAAATTTGCAAAAGTGATACCAATTTTTATCTTCCTCTTTTTTTAAAAAAAAAAAATAACAATTTTTATTCTTGCAGCCGCTCTACCGATGAATAAGAATAAAAGTATAAAACTTGAGTTGAAACACACAATGGTGAACCGTGAATGTATGTTGGACATGGCCACGTGTTGGCCCGAACAGTGGTCAACGGGCCTTGAACCGAGCCCTCGGTTTGATCAAGTCAGTTTCGGGCCACATATTTATAATTTTCAACCGTCAGGCCGATTTCGAACAGAAACCAATAATTTTTTCTTTTCTAATTTTTTTTTTTATTTTTAAATTATTTTTTAATTGAATTGGGCTGGCCCAAAACCTCCAAAACCGGGCTTTGACCACGTCTTATGTATCTGATTCGACCATAAAATTTTCTTATGCATAGTGATCGACTTTACCTGCGAAACATATAATGCCATTGTATACACCAAAGCAAAAAGTTCCCGCAATATCGAATTCCATAGAAGAATATTTGGGACTAACCTCTTTAGCAATTTCTGTACTTACTCGAACAAAATACTTTTGATCTGTTATACAAAGTCACAACTCCATAATAGCAATTGATAAAAAGAGTAAAAGGGAGGGGAAAAAAAAAAAAAATAGGATTATGAGAAATCACATTAAGTCCCCTTTTATTTTCCTCATCATCATCCTAATTTGTTCAACCCTACCTGTACTATCAGTCCTTGCACACTCCGATCTGGACACCCTATTAAAGCTCAAATCCTCCCTAATTGGGCCCTCCGGTTTGGGCCTCGATGACTGGGCCCAGCCGCCGCCCTCTTCCCCACCTTCCGCCCACTGTTCCTTTTCCGGCATCACCTGCGACTCTGACGGCCACGTGGCATCACTGAACATCACCGGCGTCCCGCTGGGCGGCACTATCCCGCCGGAAATCGGCCTCCTGACCCGGCTCGTGAACCTCACGCTCGCCCACGATAGTCTCACGGGCCCAATCCCTATGGAAATATCCTTTTTGACCTCGCTTAAATACGTCAACCTCAGCGTCAACTTTTTCAACGGCACGATCCCCGAAGAAATCGCGGCCAACGTAACTAACCTCGAAGTATTCGCCGTCTACAACAACAACCTCTCCGGTTACCTTTCTGTGCAGTTTGTGCGGTTAAAGAGGCTGCGGGTTCTCAACCTCGGCGGGAATTACTTCTCCGGCGAAATCCCGGAGGAGTATTCCGATTTCCCGGCGCTGACGAGTCTCTACCTGCACGGGAATAGCCTGACCGGAAAACTACCGGTCGGCCTGGCTAGAATCCCTAACATCGAGGAGCTCCACCTTAACTACAACAGCTTCTCCGGCGGGATACCGCCGGAATTCGGGTTCATACCCAACCTCAGGGTCCTCCACCTCGCCATGTGCAGCATCTCCGGCGAAATCCCGGCGACCCTCGGGAACTTGCGCCGGCTAACATCCCTGTTTCTTTATTTCAACAACCTGACCGGAGAAATACCGCAGGAGTTCTCGCGCCTGACGAATTTGATGTCGCTGGACCTCTCCGACAACAGCCTCACCGGAACAATTCCGGCAGGGTTCGCCAGTTTAAAGAACCTGACCCTGATTAATTTGTTCCAGAACAAATTTCAGGGCCCTTTCCCCAGTTTCATCGGCGATTTACCCAATCTCGAGGTTTTACAGATTTGGAACAACAATTTCACGATGGTGCTGCCGGAGAATCTCGGCCGGAACGGACGGTTAATCCGGCTGGACGTGGCCCATAATCACCTGACTGGACTCCTCCCTAGAGATTTATGCAGGGGAGGGAGATTGGAAACCTTGATCATCATGCAAAATTACTTTTATGGCCCCATACCAGAAGGGCTCGGGAATTGCGGGTCGCTGAACAGGGTCCGGCTCGATCGGAATTTCCTCAATGGCACCATACCGGCCGGGTTTTTCCGGCTACCGGTCATGGACATGTTCCACGTGGATAATAACTATCTGACCGGAGGCCTGCCGGAAAATATCACGGCAGAGAATCTCGGGAGCATGGTTCTGTCCAATAACTGGATGTCGGGAAGAATCCCAGCCTCAATCAGCAATTTGAGGAACCTCACGATCTTGTCCCTCGACATGAACAGATTCTCCGGCGAGATTCCCGGTGAGGTTTTTCAGCTGAAGAAGCTATCCGAGGTTAATTTTAGTGGGAATTACTTCACGGGCGAGATTCCGGCTTCGGTTTCGCGTAATTCACACCTGACATTCGTCGATTTCAGCGGGAACAACTTGTCTGGACAGATCCCTAAGAATATTTCCAGGCTGCAGATCCTAAATGCCCTTAACCTGTCCAGAAACCGGCTCGAGGGCCCGATACCGAGCGAGATTGGGCTTTTGAAAAGCCTGACGTCATTAGACCTCTCATACAATAACTTATCGGGCTTGAGGCCTACGACTGGCCTGTTAAAAGATCTCGACGACCGCTTTTTCACAGGGAATCCTCTGCTCTGCCCACCTCACACCAAGTTCTGTGCATCGGCTTTAAGCCCAAGACAAGGGCCGCTCTACAAGACTCATAAATCAAAAATCGTTATCATAGTCGCTCTAACAATAGTTCTTTCGCTCTCACTACTCGTAACATGGCTCGTGTCCCGAAAAATGATGATTCAGAATTCAAGAAAATGGAAACTCACGGCTTTCCAGAAGGTCGACTTCACGGCCCAAGACGTAATAAACTGCCTCCAAGAAGAGAACGTGGTTGGCAAGGGTGGGGCCGGGGTCGTCTACCGTGGGACAATGCCGAACGGACTAGAAATTGCCGTAAAAAGATTAATCACGCGCGAAAACAGCAAAAACGACCGCGGGTTCTCGGCAGAAATCGAGACGCTCGGGAGGATCAAGCACCGAAACATCGTGAGACTATTAGGATACGTCTCGAATCGCGAGACGAAGCTATTACTATACGAGTACATGTCGCGAGGGAGTTTGGGGGAGATGCTCCGGGCCTCGAACGGGCCCCACTTGGATTGGGAGTTGAGGCGTAAAATCGCGATGGATGCGGCTAAAGGGTTGTGCTATTTGCACCACGACTGCTCGCCCTCGATTATTCATAGGGACGTGAAGTCGAACAATATTTTAGTGGACGGCGAAGGTGAGGCCCATGTGGCGGATTTCGGGCTGGCCAAATTTTGGAATGATGGGAATGGCTCGTCCGAGTGCATGTCCTCGGTTGTTGGGTCATACGGCTACATCGCGCCAGGTAAGAACGGAGTTCTCAGCTGGCAATAGCTTCTTCGAGAAATGTTATAGGTACATAATATTGTATATAGGGCTGTATATAACACTCACATTGAAAGTGAGACCTACCAAAAATAAAATATCAAGTGGACCCCACTCAATGTGAGTGTTATGTACACCTCTATGTACATTTATTATGTATTTGTAGCATTTTCTAACCATATGATAGATGTGGATTTATGGTTTTTTTGTTTACTCTTTTTTTTGACAGAATATGCATACACTCTAAGGGTTGATAAAAAGAGTGATGTCTACAGCTTTGGTGTTGTGCTGCTTGAGCTGATCACGGGCCGGAAGCCCGTGGGGGAATTTGGAGATGATGTGGATATTGTAAGATGGGTTAGAAAAATGACGTCCGGGCCAGGGGGCCCGGTCTGTAATTTATCCAAGATTGTGGACCCAAAACTTGGAGAGTGCCTGCCATCGGGTTTGGTCGACTTGTTTAAGATTGGGATGATGTGCGTGGAGGAAGAGAGAACGGCCCGGCCCACGATGCGCGAAGTCGTTCACATGTTCACGAGTCCTCCAGAAGATAGTTCTAATATTGTTCGCAAATGAATTGAAGTTTTGGAAATAAACTGGCAAATAAAAGGGAAAGGCATTTGGAAAATGTGGATGATGACTTGTTGATTGTGTATGAACTAACTGAATCAACTATAATAGGGAAGGAATCGAAAAATGACAATTTCATTGTAATAACGAATGAGCCTGTTGTTTGTGGGAAGTAATCATCTTTTAGATTCTTCACACTTATTTGGGTTACTTAAATGGCTTAAGCTCAAATTATCTCTAGTTGGAAATTTGGATTAACTTTAAGAGAAGAGAAGAGGTTGGAGGAATGTGAAAATTACAAGTGTAAGAGTTTGAAGAAATTCGTAATCAGGATTATGAAAGTTCTAAAATTTACCAGGAGATTACAAAAGTTTTTCGGATAGAATGATTTTTTGGAAGGAATTTCATATCTATATCTATATCTATATCTATATAAAGAGAAACAACAAAATATTAAATTATATTATCATGCATTAAATTATATTATCCTCCAAAACTTTCAACATTCAATTTTATTAGTTTTCTGCATTAAATTTTATTATCCCTCCAAAATTTTCAACATTCAATTTTATTAGTTTTCACATACCACCTAAAACTGTTATATTCGGTTACAAAATATTTAATTTTTTTTTTTCTTTATTCATCTCAATTTTACAACGTTTTTTTATCACGTCTTCCCCATCAACCAAATTATGTAACAATCATTATTTGATCTGATCTGGAAGAATTCATACTTATTTCCTTTTCAAATTCATATATCTTTAATTACATAAAAATAGTTTTATACAATAATTCAGATTCCAAAATGATGTAATGCTCATTCTTCGATATGATCTGACAGGATTCATGCCTATTTCCTTTTCATTTTACTTATTTGTTGAATGAATGTAACAAAATAATTATTTATATATGTATTATATATATATATATATCATTTTATTTATTATATATATATATATATATATATATATATATATATATATTCAATTTTTTTATGCTTGAGTACGTAAAAATGATTCACACAATAATTCATATTCAAAATTACAAAATCAAATAATTAAGAAATAAAACTAAAAAAATCCAGTCATCTATCTCAATACACACACACAAACACACACACACACATATATATAGGGATTGGATCCAATCAGTCCACATATTTAAAGTGTGTCCGTGAGACCCGATCTCAACTCTTAATTTCTCGCTCGATCTGATGGTCAGTAGCAGCCTCTTAAATAATGATTTGGTTCGCGGTTTTATGTTATCTCGTCATTCAAAACGTTTGATTTTCAATGCTCTCTCTTCATCATTGTCTTTTTTCGTTACTCTATATCTTTGGCGCTCTCTCTCATCATTCTCTCAATTTTCGACGCTATCTCAGTTTCCAAAGCTTGCAAATTCAATTTTCGTCGGCGTCTTTCATCATTTGTTCTTCGCTTTCGGTTTTTGTTTGAGTTATCTTCCGATTTCTCTCAATATCGTCGTAGTTGCAGTTCCGATTTCTCGCAAGTTGGTGAGTATATTTGTTTATATTTTACTTTCCTGTGTTGTTTTGAATTTTTTAGGTTATTGTGGTTGTATATCTTCGACATACTTGTATTTTTTTCTTTATTTGCTGATTTCGTTTGTTAAACCCTAATTTCTGCTATTTTAGTTTGACTATTGCATATATAGTATAGTAGGCATGCAACGGCGTTGTTTTTTGTGCTAAATTTGTTGTGATCAACCCTATTTTATGCTATTTTAGTTGATGAATAATGTATAGATAGTATATTTTTTTATGCATATTTAGTTGTTTTTTGTGCTAGATCTGTTGAGAACATTTTCGTTGTTTCTCGTCTCTGTATTAGAGCTTGTAGAATGCATAAATATTGTATGTCTTTTGCATTTTTAGTTTTAGAATGCAGGGGCAACACTCTTTGTATTGTTGCTATGTTAGTTAATAACGTATGCATATATAGTTTATGTTTCGTGCTTATTTAGTTATCAAATGATGATTGACATGTCCATATCTACCTATTGCTATATTAGTGCTCGTATGACGCATAGATAGTGAATATATCTTTGCATGTTTTAGATCTACAATGTTCTGATATAGTTGGTTGATGTTGCATATGTAGTTTATATGAGTTGCATATTTAGTTTATATGAATTGGCATATCTAGTTCATATCAGTTGCATATCTAGTTTATATGACATGTTTTGATTTTGCATATCTAGTTCATATGAGTTGCATATGTAGTTGGTTATAATGCGCATTTATTTTTAATTAGTATATATCATATAATTTATTTCATTTTTTGTGTTATTGTAAGTCAGATATTCTTGAAGTATGCCTCGTGGTAAGAGTAGCAAGCGTAAAAAGGCAGATGCTGATGATATTTTGTTGCTTACTGATGGCACAGAAGGTCAATTGGATAGTAATAAATCATTCCCAAAAGCGTTAACTCGGTCTTCTCCAAAGATTCTTGTGGACGATATGAAATCTTTTAACCAACAACAACGAATAGCTGTTGAGCAAATGGGTTTTGGATGTCTGTTTGATCTGAAAATTAAAGAATTTCCGACTCAGTTGGTGCACTGGTTGTTGTCGAACTTTGATCCTATTAGTTGCCAGCTTGAATTTGGGAAAGGAAGAAGTATTCATGTCTCATCTTTAGACGTTCAGCATGTTCTAGGCTTCCCCAATGGTGATAAGCCTATTGAGAAGAAAAACAAATCTGAGGAGTGTGATTTGTTGAATTATTGGAAGGGTTGTTTTAGCCAGTCTTCATTGAAAAGTTACTCCCGATGTTGTATGCAATAAAATGATGGAGTGTGTTGATGGAGATTACTAGTTCAAGTTACATTTTCTTGCTCTTGTGGATTGTCTGATTGTGGGAACAAATCAATCTGGATATGTGAATCCTCTTTTTTTCAAGTTTATTTCTGATGTATCAGCTGTTTTTGAGTTGAATTGGTGCGACTACATCATTCAGAACCTTATATCAAAGACTGATCACTGGCACAACAATAATAAATCTCAATTTAATGGTCCTGTTCTTTTTCTTGTGGTAAGTATTCATCTCTATATTATTTTCTTGTAAATTGTTTAGATTGTTATTGTTTGGTATTTTTATTTATTTATTTATTTATTTTGTTGTCAAAACGCAGGTTTTATATGTTGATCGAGTAATGATTTATGAACGAGATGTTCTTCTAAGGAGTCTGCCTTCGTTTGTTGGATGGAATTGTGAGATTCTCCGTCGACGATGCTCTAAAGAAATTAAGGTGGGTGGTTTTGGACGGGGATTTGTTGATGAACCGATGGAGATTTCGGCTTTACAGTTCAAGAAGCCTGAATCAAAGGATATTTCTGATGATCCTGTACAGGTTTGTTATTTATTTGTTTGGTTTTTGTTGCATATTTAGTTAATATGACTTGCATATTTAGTTGTTTCTTTTATGATGCTTAGTTCATAATAGTTGCATATTTAGTTGGTTTTTATTGCATATTTAGTTAATATGACTTGCATATGTATTTCATATGTGTTGCATATTTAGTTCATATGAGTTGAATATTGTGTGGTTAATGCTTAGTTCATTTTGTTGTGCATGTTTACTTCTTATGTATTGCATATGTACACCTATTTTGATGCATATTTAGTTGATTTTGAATGATTATGTGCTTATAATTTGTCCATCTTTTATGATGCTTAGTTCATAATAGTTGCATATTTAGTTGGTTTTTATTGCATATTTAGTTGATATGACTTGCATATGTATTTCATATGAGTTGCATATTGTGTGGTTAATGCTTAGTTCATCTGTTGTTCATGTTTACTTCTTATGTGTTGCATATGTACACCTATTTTGATGCATATTTAGTTGATTTTGAATGCTTATGTGCTTATAATTTGTCCATTTTTTTATATCTTTCTCTATTTAACAAGTGTACAGATCAAAGCTTCTGAGTAAAGTTGCCTGTTTGGCCACTGATGTTGTTGATGTTATTTTGTTGCTTCAAGGCGCACCTGAGGAGGTGACATCTGATGAGAATTACAAGGAGATTCATGAAGCAACGAAGAATCTCATTTCTTCCAATTCAGAGAATCTTGAATCTTCATAAAGACCTGCTGCTACAGATGATTTTGATGACATCGAGGAAACGAATGCTTTCTGGAATAACCCAGAAACCATTGCAGCAATCGAGAAGATTGAGCGAGCCATTGAAAAGAGAGCTCAATTCAAAAAGACAATGAATGATATTCCAAGTTTTTCTTTGGGAATTGGGTTGTCTCAAGAAAGTGACCGGAGTTGGGATGATGTTCTTAATATTTCTAAGCAATTTTCTAAAGATCCATTGAATGTTGATGATATTCGAGGTGAAAGAACAATCCCTAATGTTGCTGTTGAAGCGCCTATTGCAGAACCAGCTGCTGAGACTCATGTTTTTGTTGAAGTGCCAACTTCTGATGAAGTGCCTGTCAAAGCGCCAACTTCTGATGAAGTCCCTGTCAAAGTGCCAATTTCTGAACCAGGTGTTGAGACTCATGTTTCTGTTGAAGTGCCAACTTTGATAATTTCTGATGTTCCTGTTGAATCAACAATTGCTGTGCAGCATGTTTGTGTTCAAGAAGCAGCTCTTGATAATGTTCAAGAAGCGGTTGTTGAGATGGAGATTGAAAGAGAGAAATTGAAAGAGAAGGAGATTGCGATAGAGGAAGAGAAAGAGAAAGAGAAAGCGCAGGAGATAGATAAGGTGACAGATTGGGGGAAATGTTGTTTCTACTTATTTTATTTGTATTTTTATGTACTTCAATTTTATTTTTAATCAATAAGTTATGTATTTGGTTGCAGTTTGTGGTAGCTGAGGATGAAAATTTGTTGAAGAAAGAGGAAGAGAAGAAGAAACAAAAAAAGAAAGTTTAGTTTGTTGAAGAAAAAAGAGAAAGAGAAGAAGAAAGACCTGTGAAGATGCTGAGGAGACTAAGAAAGTACCAAAGGTCAAAGAAAGTTCAGATTGT